TTTCTGCCATTATATGATGCAGGGCACTTTCCCTGACAACCCTGCCTGCTCTGCCTGTCCTTTCCAACCACCGGCAGCCATGCAGTGCGACTATAGGCTGCCCTGCATAGGGTGCCATGAGGTAGAGAAAGAACCTTGGCATTTACTCAGTATTAAACTTCAGACAGAATGCTGACTGATTTTTATTGAACTCATAAGACTTTTTATTAAGGATTTTTATAATTATACTATCCTACATAAAATGAAAATAAATCTAGTCGAACACAAAGAGGAAGTATAATGTATAATTCTACTGTCCCTGGAAAGTTTCCAAGTACCACTGGAGATTATGAGCTGGTCATCAGATAGTCATGGGGGTTCCCATCTGGGCAGTCTTCTATGATTCTCCTCAGGAGCATCTGACACTTCCATATAGAAGAAAGATAGGAGTGGTTGGGCCAGTCTGGGGTGGGAATTTATGGAGTGGCTATACAGGTTTGAAAAGGGACTGAAGAGACAAAGATCAGAATAGTGCTGTTCAGGTGCTAGATCATGTGTTCTGGGCCACCAGAGCAGGGGACCTGTCAGGTTGATTGTCTTGGAGAAACATGTTCTATGCATTTATATTTGTGATTTAGATCCTGAAACACAGGATAGTCCTGAGAATGTGGTGCTCATGGTGCAACAATATTGGGGTCAGGGAAAGGTCCCTGGGTGCCTCTTGTCTTGGAAGCTGGTGAGCGTCCATTTCATGAATTGAACTTAGGAACAGATAGCTTTGCAAGCCTCGAGAACTAAAACTACTATTAGAAGCTTTCACTGCACATAATGAAGTAGAAGGAGGATATGAACACTGGCTCAAAGTAATAGACTAGATAGATTGCCACTCATCTGCTTTATGCTTCTCTCATAGTCCCGGTGGCACCTCCCTGGACAGATATATATCAATGAAACACCCAACCTCTTCAAGTTCTGGGTCCTGTGAGAAGTTGGGGCTTTGCCCAATGAAGTCAAGCATGGCTCTGGTGGATACTTTGAGGACAAAGAATGCTTGATTCACCTGATTCTCTTTTGCGTTTGAGAGACCATAGATGCCCAAACTATACCTCTCAAAATAGTGGCCAATTGAGTGGCTCCTCCTGAGAAAAGGGTGGGAATTCTGGGTGGATCGAGGGGCAAACCTGGGTTAAGCATTTGAGCCAAATGTATAATGAGACCTTAGTCCAACTCAGCACACTTTGTTGGATTTTGCTCTTTTCTTCCCAGAAACATTATTGAGGGAGATGAGTGGATGCTGTTTCCTGAAGTCAGGCAAAGTTTGTTAACTATTTGCAAGTACCGGGGAAAACCACTTTCATTTGTCTTTTTTTCTATTCTTAAGCTAATGTTAATAAAAAAAATGGTATTTGATTAACCTTGAAATGTACCCTGGATGACTATACTGATAAATTCGATAATATTAATTGCAAGAGGGGATGACCATGTGAAATCAGTACCATTCAGACAGTCATGGTAGTTCCCATCTGGGCCGATTTACAACTTGTCCAACCTATGCTGTAAGTCTGAGGAGGGAACTGGTGACCCTGTATGAGCCTAGCCCTCCATCAGAGCAGAACTTGCAAGGACTAGATCTTTCAACCATGACTTAGGCAATGCAGCTACTGACTGTGCTTGAATTGATTCATTCCTTCTTTTGAGCAAGGAGCACAATTTCTATTTTACATGGGCTTTGTGGATGTGTCCTTACTATTCTTTCACTTTGAATTCATTGCTGGGATTCAAAGTTACTCATTCATTGTTCTAGGTTGTTGGTTCATGTGAACACAGGCATCTGATCCTGAGAAACTTCAGCATGAAAGAACTGGGAAGGAAAGCAGCGCTAACAGCCTCACAGAGGAACCAAGAGTTGATCTGAATTTACACTAACATTTAGTCTATGGGGAATTCCAAAGGACTCTCAACACTGAGAGTCATGAGACCTGAAAACAGAGCCAACAGGAACCAAACAGAAAACCCTATTTCTTCTGGAAGAAAATGGTTGAGAGAGGCTTGTGAGATTGTCTTAACTATGTGGATCAGTTATTATTCCATGGATAATGGAATAGTCTCCTTGTGTATGCCCTGTGATAAAATTAGGGAAAACTGGTTTAATTTGTAGCAGAAGACAGTTAGGATTGATGGGAAGAATATGTTACTTACAGGGAATGAAAGCGAACATACTCTGAATTGGTGGATTTCATTTCTCTGGCAAAACCTGACCATTCCCTGGACTTTGGAGCGAACAGTCTTATCTATGGCAACAATCCAAAGCTGAGCCTCATTCTTTTTTTTTTTCTTTTTGTCTTTACAAAAACTTTATTGAGAATTTCATATGTGCATATAGGTGTGTTGATCAACTCCATGCCCACTTCCTCCCCTCCAACACCTCCCATATCTCCCCATCACTTTTTCTTTTTCTTTTCTATTTTTTTTTCTTTCTTTATTTTTATGGGGCTTTTGGCCACTCTAACATTCCCCCCTGTGAAGAGGTAACCCTAAAATCTTTTAAGGATTAGATAAGAATAGGAGGTAGGAATTGGCTAGGCAGTTAGGGTAAAAAGACCCCAAAGAAAAGTAGCCAGTTTCTTGGCTAAAAGTCAAAATGTCCTTGGGCCTCTGAGCCTCGTTCTTGAGATCCTGAATTCTGTGTTGTTTCTTTTTAATTTTATAACTGTTCAGTTTATATTATTAGAATGGCAAATCTCTTCTTGGAATCAAAAGTGCCTATCTCAGTATGATTCCTAGGAAATAGTAATTGTGTTCTATTACTGAATTATATCTGTCTGATAGGAAATAGTATTTAAGAAAATGCAATGTTCTAAGCAGATATTTAGTGTTCCAGGCTTAGGAGGATGTTTCTCAAGGCAGCTGATTGAGCAGGAATTTTCAGTTTTCTTATCCTGTGATCTCAGGGCTTTGGATTGTGTGCTCTTCCTCACTTTCTCTTTTTTTCTTCATTTTCTTTGCTTAAAACAAGCAAGAAGGAGAGGGCATGAGTAACAATACTTGTCACACAAGCCTAAGAACCTGAGTTTCATCCCCAGAACCCATGTTAAGATAGAAGAGAAGAACTGACACCACAAAGTTGACTGTCCTCTGACTTCTGCGTGTCAGTCATGGGGGCACATATGCGCCCCACTTCCTCGTTAAGATAGAAGAGAAGAACTGACACCACAAAGTTGACTGTCCTCTGACTTTTCTGCGTGTCAGTCATGGGAGCACATATGTGCCCCACTTCCTCCATCATACACACACACACACACACACACACACACACACACACACACACAAATGTGCTAAATAAAATAAAAAAGAAGACCCTGAATTCTGTAAGTTAGAAGTTCTGAATGAGGATCCTGGTTTTATTTGGTCTTCAGGTATCAATGTGTAGTGAGTCATTAGAACAAGTGCCATGACATTTAAAGACAAACCTTTTTAACAAAAAGTAGAATATTTGTAAAAAGTATTTAAAAAATAATTTGTTATTTTGATTTTATGTGTATAAGTATATTGCCTGCATGTGTGTAAGCGCACCCGTGTCATGTCCTGAAATGCCTGCGGAGGTCAAAAGAAGGCATCAGACCCCCTGGAACTGGAGTTCTGGTTGGTTGTTAGCTGCCATGTGGGTGCTGGGAATTGAACCTGGGTTCTCTACAAGAGCAACCAGTGCTCTTAATCACTGAGGCATTTTTTCAGCTCCTGTAAAAAGTATTTTTAAACTGTAGTTAGTCTTTATTTATAGCATGTGTTGTTCCATTCACAGAAGAATTGAGACAATGCATTTTTGCTTAAATCAAAACAAACAACAAAAACCCCCAACAAAAGACCTACCTTCTAATACCATGGGTTGAGAAAATGTAATCTCTTATAAACTGAAGATCAGTCTGAGGCTGGAGAGATGGCTCAGCAATTAAGAACACTGACTGCTCTTGCAGACAACCCAGGTTCGATTCCCAGCTCCCATATGATAGCTAAAGACTGTAACTCCAGTTCCAGGGCATCTGATGCCCTCTTCTGACCTCCTCTTGCATGGCACGGTTTCACTTATATACATGCAGGCAATACACACATACGCATAAAGAAATAATAAATAAAATATTTTAAAAATGAAGATCAGTCTATCTGATGATTTTTTTTTAGAAAGTAGGATCCTTCGTGCCTGCCAGGGATTGAAGTAAATATCCAGATATTAGACTGCCTTTTCTCATTTGACGTTTTTTAAGTTTACTAATGTATGAACCTCCATTTCAAAAACATATCAAAACTTACTTGAAAACAAAATCAGGTTACTTGCTGATGTAGCCAATATGTTATCTAAATTGTTACACATTCAGCTTGATAGGGGTAATTGTTGGCTCAACCGAGGAACCCACACAGATGAGTGCAAAGGTCATGCTTATAATAGATGCTGGCCTGTTTCTTGATCTGTTGCTCCTCCTCCTTGCTTTCTCTGCCTCCTCATTTCCTTCCTTCCTTCCTTCCTTCCTTCCTTCCTTCCTTCCTTCCTTCCTCCCTCCCTCCCTTCCTTCTTCCTTCTTCCTCCCGTTCCT